AAAAAAAAAAAAAAAAAGGAAAGAAAAGCTCTTAAGGACACAGGCTATGTGTCCTCGGCACCCGCACAGGGCCTGGTCCCGAGGACGGCTCGGAGGGCTTGGTCAGTACCTGCTGGGTAGAATGCGCATGTCCTTGAGGCCGACAGCCCAGAGCGGGCACCCTCTGGTAACGGGGGGAGGCTGCTTCGGTTCAGAGCTAGGTGGTGGGACCGGTGCGCCCGCCCGCTCCCCGCCGGTGCTCACCCAGTGCAGTGAGTCCTTCGGAGATGGAGGAGAGGATATACATGACAACGTGTGGCTCCAGGCTGGCGATGAAGTTCATGTGGTCCTGGCTCAGGACTTCCAGTAGCGAGTAGTAAGACTGGCTGAGCTTGGGGTAGTCCTGCGGGGAGGACGGCAGTCAGCCCAGGCACCGCGGCCGGCACGGAGGGAGACCTCCAGCACAGCGGCCAGCCGGGAGCGCTTAGTTACAGCGCAGAGGCGCTAGCTCAGTCTCCAGGGAAACGCTCCGCTGTGGTCTCGGGTTAAAGAACGGACCGAAGGCGGGGGAAGGCAGGTGTTATGGCGAGGCCCACGGCTTACCAGGAGGTCACTGTGGGGGATGGACAGAAGCAGCTTGATGAAGGTCTGCAGGGCGTTGTCCAGGGCGTCGTCCCCATACAGACGGAAGACTCCAAAGTTAACGTAGCTCCCGCTGAGAGCAGCCTTCAGCATGGAGAAGCAGATGGAGATGCCCTTGAGCTTCAGGGCGTAGACCTGATCCTTTGGGACTTCTCCAAGCGTCAGGATGCGATTGCCTGAGCAGACACGTAATAAAAGAAAATAAAATGGATGGACACACACACACACACATTTGCTGTTTTAAGAAAAGATTTAACTTTATTTCTTATTATTTTGTAACTGGTTGTAGGGTTCATGTACTCACCATGGGGGAGGAGGAGTGAGAAAGCAAGCTACCAGGTTCGGGACTCGAACCATGGTCAGCCATGTGGGAGTCCAGTGGCTTAAGCACTACACCACCTGCTGGCCCCCACATGCTCTTTCTTAACCACAGTACCGTCGGTAGGTAGCTGGCAGATCAACTCAACCTGCCTGTCTAGATGCGCGAATTCCAGCAGCCCCGTGACAGCTGCCGCTCTGCCAGGCTGGCTCGAGGCCACCCTGCTCACGGGGACAGCAGCGTCGGGTCCCGGGCGTCTCCTCACAGCACTCACCATACATTGTGATCATCTTGCTGGTCTCTCGGAAGAGTAAGATGCCGTTGGGGGAAGAGACGTCGAACTGCAGTCGCTGGGACCTGAGCAGAGGACACAGACGGAGAAGTCAGAGGGTCTGCCTGGGAGACGGGCTGCTCGGGCCCGTGGGGCACCTCGGGTGAAGTGCTGGCTGCCTATCAGAATGCGGGCAACCACGCCAACGGAAGGTATCTGGCCGGTGATGCTGTTTATACCTCAAAAACCAACATGCCAGATTCAAGCTCTGTCACTCAAACTGAAAACATTAAAAAAAAATACAGCAACAGATGAATTACTCTTTTAAAATACTCATTTCACTTGATTCAAGTGTGGCTCCCACTGGACACCTCTCGGTGCTGATGCACAGCCCACCTCGAGAGCCTTGGCGGCTAAGGGAGGGCACACACACCGGCCTGCCTCACGAGGACGAGACCTAAGAGGACCGAAGGCCCCAGCGGAGGCGGGCAGGCAGGGCGGGCACGTCCACCTGCTCCAAGTCCCTGCCTGCTGGTGCAGCTACGGGGCCGTACTCCATAGCTGGCAAGGCCTCGAACCGGCAGTCCCTGACCTCTCTCCTGCCCTTGCAGACTCTGGGTCCAGCTGAGCCCGCTGTGAGCACGTGCCCGATCCAGCTGGCTAAGGCTGGCGGGCGGCACGGCGTGAAGCCCCTGCTGGGGTGCCTATCTCTCCTTCTCTCTCAAGAAAGAAATACACGTTGAAAGTCCGGCTTGAAGCTGTGCTGATACTCCTTTACGACTGCCCCCTCCATGGGCCCCTCACGCGCACGCGTGTCCCTGCAGTCCCATGCATCACGGGGTGGGTAGCCGGAACACCACCTTTACATGGGCTTACCTGTGGGGTCACTCCAATCCCCCGCTGAGGACATGCTGGCAGCTCCCACGGCACCGAGAACACGCCCAGCCCTGGCTGCCTGCCTGGGTGCTTGCCTATCTGGGCCTGCCCGGGGGTCTGACTGCCTGACTCTAGGCTCCGGCCAAGGGCTGCCTCAAGGCCCAGCAAGCCCTTCGCTCCACGGTCCTTGCTGGCGCGTCCTGTCTGAACAGCTCTGTTCTGCAGGGCGACCAGAGTCTGCACATTTGGATCCCAACTTAAATGGTGTCTTCCTGAAACCTCCTCCTGCCCTTCAATTCCCCTCTATTTTATCACCTCGCTTTGTTTTTATTTTTTTAGGTTTCTGCCATAGGGCTTGTGCACTCTCACTGGAGAGAGAGAGGGGGGGCGGGGAGGGAGGGAGGGCGGGCCGGCACGCGCGCACATCCCCAGGGCGCATGGCCTACCACAACCTGTTCTCTTGGGATTTTGGGCTTGCATGTATACATGCTCAGGGTTATTTTCAAGCACGCCTTTCTTTTTTTAAAGAGACTTTTGCTCTAGGACATGTGCGATTACCGAAGACAGACAGACAGACAAAGCAAGCCATTCACCCTCAGGAGGGATGGCTACACAGCAATCCCTTCTCCTCCATTTTCCTCCCAGGACTGTGGGCATGCACATGCCTGGTGCGAGTGCCCAGTCTCTGAGTCCGGGACTCACACAGTCAACTGTGCAGGAGTCCAGTGCCGTAACCACTATGCCACTTGCTGGCCCCTTCAAGCTTCATTTTCAAGCCTCCAGGTCCAGGACTTGAACTGTGGTTGGCCACGTGGGGCTCCAGCACCTTAACCACCATTACACCTGCTGGCCCCCATGCTTTGCTTTTCTCATAGCACTTAACCACTGTCTCAGATGATCGTCTGTGGCTGTCACCGTCGTCTTCCCCATCGCATGTAACCCTGAAGAGGGCAGAGGTGTGGTACAGAGCCTGGCGAGCGCCCGGCAGAGGGCAGGTGCACTGAAGTAGTTATTTCACGAGTGAACAAGTCTCAGCGCTTAGCCTCGTGGGAGGTTACAGCCTCTGAGCACTGCCTGCTCCCCTACTAAGGATGCTTGACAGGCCTTAGTTCTCCTAGGAGCACCCCAAGACAGGTGCAAGACCAAAATTCTAGCAAAGCCTAGGAGCTTTTTCTTTTTCACTACCCTTAAATTATGGGGCAGATGAAAAATGTGGTGTTTTAGACATTTTCCTCACTTTTTTAAAAAAAGTGTATCTTTATAGATCCAGCTGCCGTCTGCCTAAGAAATGCCTTTCTTTCGCACAGGTAACCTAGCACAAAAGCCCTCCTTCCTTCGTCTCTACCTGACATGCGACGGAGGGGGCACCTCTGCCAGCCGCTAACCCGTGTCTGTGGGCAGGGGAATCTGACGCTTCTTAAAACAATGGGTCTCTTTAGACTCTTCTTACGGTAATTTATCTTGGGCCAGCAGGTGGCGTGGCAGTTAAGGCACTGGGTCTCACATGCCTGACTCCACGATTCGAGTCCTGGACCTGTTGGCTTGAAAATCACGCCAGGAGTGAGTACACGTGTGCCCAAAATCCCAGGGGGAGAATGGAGGAGAAGGGACTGCAGCGTGGCCATCCCCCGGTGACTTCTCACTTTCCTTCTCTCTGTCTTTCTCTGGCAAAGACCTCCGCAAGGACCTCACCTCCTGCAGGCACGGCGCTGAGCAGAGTCGGAGGACACCCTGTCACACTCACCCCCCACACTTCCAGCAGTTTTCAGTCCTGACAGCAGCGAATCGAGCCCTCTCCCACAGTCTGCCCAGAGCTCAGGGTGAGCAAATCCTCCCAGGGCTGACTCCGAGGAGGGCCCATGTGCCCTGAGGCCGCGTTCCTCTCACCTGTTGTGAACTAGCTCGGCCATCAGCTTGAGCACGGGGGTGGTGCAGGCTGGGTCGTGGTACCACAGCTCGATCGCCCGCTGGAGAATCGGCATGTAGGACGGATATCTGGGCAGGAGAAGCTAAGGACGGCTTCCGAGTACAAACAGGTACAGAATTCGAAACGGCTGCCCAGTTCTAGCCAAGCACACGCTGCCAAATCCAGCTGATCTCTGCCTCTTACCTGCTAATCTTAGTCTAAGCAGAGGACGCCGAAGTTGCGTGTGTCCTTTAACCGTAATGACACGCTCGCTTGCACTTGCGGAGAGCTGTCCGTCTGAGTGCGTGACACGCGCGGTACACCCCATAGCTCTTACTTCACACGGCTTTTACTAGGTGATGGGGGGGGACGTGTCCTAGGCACTCGGATTTGAAACGATCTGTTCAAGGTCACGAAGTCAGTAAAGGTGGGATTTCGAAATTCCTAGAAGCTGTCTTCTCAGTGCATTCAAATGTCCCTCTAGCCTAAATGCGGTGAGGGTCACGTGCCCCAGTCTGCAGCAGTACATGGTCCCATGGGCAGTTATGTCTGCGGCCCAAAGGGAAACCGGAAAACCGCCTCACAGTGTGCAGTCCTCAGGACCCGCGCCGTCGGACCACCATGGGCCGGGGGTACGGGACCTGCAGGCCTCTCTGCTCCCTGCATTTCCTCCCGACCCCTCCCCCCACACCAGGGGCTGCAGTGCCGCCAGTCTGGGTTGGGATACATCCACTCGAACAGCATCATGAAGCTGGTCTTGGCGTTGAAGGCGAAAGCGATCCCTCTCAGGTCTCTCACTAGGCCCACGAGGGTCCGCTGCAGCAGAGGCACACAGGTCAGAAGTGGCACACACACTGGTGGTGTGCTGGGAGGTAGGACCACAGCTCTCGGCAGGGCCAGGCTGGAGCTGCTCCGTGCTCTCTAGCCCAGGTCTGCCTCCCTCCCAGACACCCCGAGTCCGCCACTACAATGCAATCTTTCCCTTTTTTGAAAAATTTTGCGATGGGGCACATATACCCACAGGAGATAGAGTGAGACGTCACACCCCAGGGGAGGTGGCCGAGCCACAGTCCCTTCCCTTCCATTCTCCTCTCAGAATTCTGGGCACACATGCACACGTGCCCTGCATGGTTTCTGAGCTGCTGAGTCTGGGACTCAAACCGTGCAGTTGGCCATATGGGAGGGATCCAGCTGCCTCACCATCATGCCACCTGCTGGCCCCAGAATGGCATCTTACTTGGAAAACTGGTATTGTAGCTTGTAGTAACAAGAAAATAGGATGGGCCCTGACCCATTACGACAAAGATAGGAACGGAGAGGCTCGAAGATATTATAGTGCTAAATCGTGTAAGAAGTGGAATAATAAAAGAGCCCGTAAAAAAAGTTGGAGAAAAGAAAAAAATCCACCCAGGTGTCACACACGTTTGAAGGGGAGCTGGGTGCAGACCCCGACAGAATGAAGCAGAGGGGGGCTGCCCTTGGTCTGGGTGTCCGAGACTCGCGGAGCTGGTCAAGCATGCTGTCTCCTCTCACGGGAGGACTTGAGGCCGCAGAGGCCTAAGAACAGCCGTGCTACTGGTGGCAGGAGGGCGCATCTCAAGACTCCAAACCCAACATTCCATTTCTCAACAGAACTTGGCCCTGGGGCCTGCCCAGCAGTGCGTCTGCTCTTAGAACCCAGGTCAGGAGGGTGGTGCGTTCGGGGACCTGACTCACTTGGCAAAACGACTCACGTCTGTGAACAGTCTGCTTTAAGCAAACAGCTCTGGTCCCAGACTGAGAGCAGTCTGGTCTAAGACAAAGACAATCTAGACTTGCTAGGTCTAGTCTTGTAGCTGAGTAGTTAAGGGAGTTGGATACCATAGGGCCAACCATGTGGTTCAAATCCTGGCCCTGGCAGCTTAAAAAAAAAAACAACAAAAAACTGGAGGTCAGGGGGAGGTGAAGGAGAAAGCTCTCCCCAACAGGCACAATCACACCCCAAGTACTTTTCCCCACTCTCTCTCCTGTCGGGATTTTAGGTGCACACATATGCCTGGGGGTTTTCTCAGGCCACCAGGGCCAGGCTTTGACCTGTGCAGCAGCCGTGTGGGATCCAGGCCCCTTAACCACCAGACCATAAGGCCAGCCCTGAAACTCTTCTAAGTGACACAGGTGGCGGGAGAAATCTTAATGGAAATCAGAACTCACAGACCTCATTGATAACAGAATGGCTGCGGAGTCAGGAGACGTTGCCACGACAATGAAGCAATACTCAGTACTCCTAAGCCTTACACGTGAAAATGGCTAAAACAGCACTATTATGTTTTTAAATCACACACATAGACTCTTCCCTCCAAATGCACAAAAATAAACCTTGCTCTATTATATTTATTATACTGGAGAAGAAGAGCTGAAAAGTTAATAAGTTAGAACAGCCTTCATGAAAAGTTAATAAGTTAGAACAGCCTTCATGAAAACAGGGAAGAGTAGAAACAAATAAAACACACAGATAAAACAGCTGAAACAAAGCCAAAAAAAGCGTTTTGTTCTGTTTTTTGGTAAAGATCAGTAATACTGACAAGTCTTTGGCAGGTCGGATCTAGGAAGGAGCAAAGCTAGTAAGCAGAGTAGAGTGAAAAAGCGACCTGAAGATTCAACAGAGATTAGAAAGGCCGCAAGAAAATTATAAATAACTTTATGCTAACACATTTGAACACTTGGACAAAAAAAAGTCTTAAGAACTGCTTAAGAACACACTTGGATGTGAAAACAAGCCTATAGTCTATACCACTCTTTCTGTTTCAAAACCCTCAGATCTAAGAGCAGAACTTTCAAATGCTGGACTGAAAGCTCTCGGCAGGGCCGGCTGGCCTCGATAGGAGTGACTGGCCAGAGGGCGGGACACTCACCTTTGCTTCTTGCTCGTTGAAACTATTCGTGCTAAACATCTGGGCCACGGCCTCGAACGCTGCCGTGAGGGGCAGCATGAACTGCTCGTACTGATCTTCATCCTCTCCTGTGAGAGAGACAGCCCTGCGTGACCCCAACGCCAAGACTGCAGGTCGTACAGGAGAAAGGGGGAGAAAGAAGCAGACCCGAGAAGGAAGGGGCCCCCTTGGTACCCACAGTCTGGGAGCAGTTTAGGCGTAAGACGGACCTACAGACCAGAATTTTAACACCAGCCGGTGACAGGAATCATCGAGCCCCGGGGTGGCTCAGTTTTTGCTGAGTCAGATTTCCATGGGCGTGTGTTACGTCACTGATTTACTTTGGCTTAAGAGAGAACTTGGGAGTCGGCTGGAAGGACTGAGGCTGGTGTGGAGAACTGGGTGAGACGTGGACTTGACAGAGGGGCTGGGGGCACTTCCTTCACTTTGCTGGTGACCCTCCTTTTATGATGTCCCTTAGTAGGATTACATGTAAATAGCTTGAAACTGGAATGGCATCACCGAGTGCGTTACTAGGTGACCCCTCCCCAGCCGCGGCGATCACCGCTGAGGTGGTGATGCCCTCCTGGCTCCGATGTGCCAGAGGACCGGGCAGGCCGAGGTCTGGCTCAGTGTGGGGCAGGGGTCTGCTGGCTAAGCAGCTGCACCGGGGAGACCTAGGAGAGACGCTGCAGCCTGCACACAGTCTTCTCCCAGTTACAGGCCCAGGGTGACCTGGCCGGGGCTGGCTGCTGTTTTGGTGACTCTGACTGCTGAACTACAGGAGAACCCCAGACTTGTTTTCTGTCCGCAGATAAAAATTTGGAACCGCGCCAGGTCACTTCATGAGCTTCTAGATTTATTGCAGTACCTAAATCCACCATGAGGAGACGCCCAAGTGCCGTGTAGAAGGTGGTCCGACACCGCATGTCTGTCAGGTTGGACTGATTGTTAATGCCCAGAAATGAAAAGTGCTCGCTCTATGGGAAAAAAGAAAACAAGTTAAAAAGGTAAAAACATGGGTTAGAGGCAGGAGGAAGTCAGTACTTTGAGAACTGAGCCCTTTCTAGCTAATGGCTTCGTGGTCATCCTTAAGGATCTGAGGATTATTCTCCTCTTGATTTTTTGGATTACTGCTGTGAGCAGTACGAACTCATCTAAAGCAGGAATAATTGCGGTGACTTCACCGTGAGAGGTCTGACGACTGCTCAGGCTGATCTGGTGGTGTGCTGGGAGTTAGCACCATGGGGCTCGGTCCACGGTCCCCATCTCTGCATGTCTAGGAGTGTGTGCGTGGGGGGCCGGCAGGGCTCGGGTACTCACCGTGTGATTGTTCAGCATGAACTGTACCGCACTAAGCTTCACCAGCTTCCTCACGCTGCTGTACGTAAAGACGGGGCAACGGTCAAGGAAAGAGCGGAACCAACCAACCTTCAGGCAGCGGAAACCTTCCAGAATAAAGTACCGGTTACCCTCGCATCTGATTTTCCCACACCGCCTGAGTGCCCTGGACGAAGGAAAACGTGTTCTCTTCAAAGCAGTACTTAACCGATCGATGAGAACACCCACGCCAACGCCCAGCGGAGCTCAGCCCTAGCAGGTCCTCTAAGGGCCGAGCACAGCGAGGGCAGGGACTCCAAGAGAGGACCGAGCCCGCAGCCCTGCCTCGGCACCCGTGCACGAGTGGGCAGCTCTCCCACTGAGAGTGGCGGCAGCCAGGCACGCCGGGGGGACTGAGAAAAGTCCCTCCAGTAACCTCACAGGGCTCACCCTGACGTGAACAGCTGTCCTGGGGCCAGTTAGACCACAGCAGCCCTAACCCGAGTCAAGAGGAAGGCTGGCCGCTGCCTCTGTGGACGCTTCTGCCAAGGGCTGAGTCATCCTCAGCGGGGCTCGGCCTCTACTAAGTGCCCGAACCTTGACCACACGGACTATACGCCTATGAGACAGACCTTCCGAGCAGGGGTAAACCTGCAGTACACTACTCGGCTGTGCGCTGGCTCATTCTGAGGGGCTGGAAGTACCCGAGTACACACTAAGGCGCGTTGAGAGTGGGACCATCGGGGGCTGCCCCAGAAAGGATATCCGATGGAGAGGTCGTTGAGCAGCTGCAGCGTCTTGGAGGTGATTGGCTCACAGCGGCCCCAGTACTTCAGGTTGGTGATGCTGGAGGACAAGAGAAAAGACAAGCCAGAGACACTTTTGATTTGCCTGGTTTCCTCGAGGGCTGGGAGAAGAAGAAAATCATCCATCAAAAGTCACCACACATCTGCATCACCAATTCACAGACATCACGACCACAAAAAAAATGGGCATAAAATCTCCGTACTTACATTTGGTGGACTAGAAAAATTATCCTTCAGATAATCTTCACTACTTGGTTCCAAAGCTACACTGGCCCATACCCAGGCCCTTGGAATTCTGGGGCACTCCAGGGCTGATCTCTGCAGCAAGGGTAAGAGATTCCTGCGGCAGTGATAACACGCGGACGCATGCACCTCTGCACCGGCGCCATCCACTGTCGGCTGCAGAATCCTAGCCGCCCATGCTCGGGCGCTCGGCGGAGGAGCCCTCAGACCTCCTTTGCTCTGTCCAGCGTCAGTTACTGACCAGCTCGTGGACAGGAGTGCTTAGGGTTGGGACACCTGGATGGAGTGGCCAAACGCCACTGCACACAGCCCCGGGTAATACGTTTGGCTTCTAGTGTGTGCTAGACTGAGCTCCTCAGGGGGGAGATGTAACCAAAGGGCACAACTTAAAAAGGAAAAAAAAAACCCAAAGAAAAGGTCAATTAGGAGCTCTGATTTTGGAACAGTTCATAAGACAGCACCGGATTTTGGAGACTCAGGACTCTCAAGGGTATGAAACTTCCTGAGAGGAAGAAGCCCCTCGCGAAGCCAGGCTCTCCTCCGGGGGCCGAGCTAGCGGCGTCAGTGCCAGAAAGCGAGCGCCTGCTTTCGGCATCCCCAGCGGCGCAGCGGCCGGGTGAGAGGCCAAGTCCCGCTCACCAGGGAGGGAGGTCTGTTTCACTAGTGCCTGGACAGGGTTTCACCCGTGATTCCAGAGGCTACGGAGGAGATGGTACAAGAATAAAACGGAGTCCTTGCCTGTACAGGCCTGGGATGCTCTGGGGCCGGGCCATATCTCTAAGCACAGCTGTCACACACTCAATGCACAATTTTCTGACGCAAACGGCCAATGCTGGAATACCAAGCACTGGCAGCACGATGCCAAGATCACAGTTTACAGTTGCAACAGGACTGCGAGGGACTCTTGCTGGTGGCAAGCGGGGACACTTACATTTTTCCTATGAAGACGCTCAGGACCATGGTCTCATCGTTCAGGCCCAGGACTTCTGAGAGCCGCCGGTACAGCTGGTGGGGAGGTCCAGGAGGAGAAAGCATCAGACACATGGGTTAGAACCACCACACCCTGCTCTGCTGTCCATGCATGGGGGCGGGGGTGGGAGGAAATGGAGACAGTCCCAATGCCGGGCAGACTTGACTGGAGGGAGGAGCTAGTCTCTGAGGGGCAGTAAACGCTGGCGAGATGGCAAGCTCATGCCTGGTCCCTCAGTCCTGGAATTAAAGGAAGAATGCCAACCCTGCTGCTCTGCACACGGGCTCACGTGTGGAAACCACCTTGCGGGGAACGGCTGAGTCGAGCAGCCCTGTGTTTGACAGGTGGAGCGTGCTCGATCAGTCTGCCAGAATCCTGGACTATGAGAAAGCACGGGGACTCCTGCGTACCCAGACTCTGCAGGCTGGACCTGACCTGTTCCCAACTGCGGCCCTCACTCGGTCACGCCATAGTGAGAGGCGGAAGAGAAGCAGTCTGTTACCTTCGAGGACTTCTGCACCTGGTCCCCGATGTAGATCTTACGGAACTGTTCGAAAAAGCTCAGCATGGCCAGTTCCAGCTTCTCGTTCCCCGCCTGGGCCAAGCGGGAATCAGTGAGGTTCATGAGCTGGAGAACCCTGGAGGAAGAGCAATGGTGAGGCTCAGTGGCGGGTCAGCTGGTCTCGAAATGACCCACACTAGCCCAACAGTCTCCTTCCCATCCTGCCCGAGTCTCTGCAGGCTCTAAGCTGGAAGAGAACGTGATTCTCCTCTCCCACCCCACAGGAGCCAAACCGCAGCCCGGCCGAGCTCTTATAGGGCTAGACCCAGTAGAAAGGCCGGCGTGAAGGCAACGCACTCCCTCAGAACTTCTAGGAGACCACGGTGGGCAGATTCCTGCGTCCCAGTTCATCCAGGTAAAGAGGGACGCGGGAACCAGCAGTTAGCGTAATGGCTATGTCACTGGATTCCCACGTAGTCGACCGCGGTTCGCGTCCTGGACCCGGTGGCTTAAAACTCACGCCAGGCGTGTGTGTGCGCGTGCCCAAGATCCCGAGAGGAGAAGGGATTGCGGCATGACCATCCCCCCTGGGGGGGTGATTTCTCGCTTTCTGTCTCTCTGTCTCTCTTTGTCTGTCTGGCGAGCGCACGCGCCCTATAGCGAAAAACCTCTTAAAAAAAAAAAAAAAAAAAGAGGGATGCTGGCCTAGACCAGAGGTTTGCAGCCATTCTGCTCTCAGAGTCAACAGAGGGATGCTCACAGGCAGGTAACACTTCCGGGTCGAACAACTGATATATGGCCTATGACTGTCCCTTTTTCCTGCACCCCACTCCCAAAAGAGGATATGGAACGAAGGTGAGTGCAGGCTGAATGAATAAGAACGACATTATTACAAGGGAGTCATGTGACATCGACAGTGTGGGAACAGGTGAGCTCCCTGCGACAGGCCTGTCACACGTGAGCCAGATCAGCCTGAGAACCCGTCTATAAGACACGGCCTAATGAAGTGCACACTGACACACACCAGGCTGCAGTATCAGAAAGGAACTGGATTTTACCCTTACTAAAGCTTTGTCCAACTCTTCAGAAAATGCCATTGGGACGTCACCATGGAAACTCTACTAGGATTAAGGTGCCTGCAGTCAAGAGGGCAGCTGATGAACCGGGTGTGGGGAGAGACTTTCAGGAGGACGAGGAGGGTTACAGGCTGACACGTGAGACCAGTACAGTCCCCAGGCATTGTGTTAAAATGTGTTCCTTGGGCCAGCAGGTGGTGTGGGAGTTAAGGCGGCTGGAGTCCATATGGCCGGCTGAGCAGTTCAAGTCCCGAACCCGGTGGGCTTGAGAAACGATCTGGGTATGCATATGTGTGTATGCGCGAGTGTGTGCCCAAAATCTTGAGGAGAATGGAGGAGAGGGGACTGTCGCGTGACCATACCCCGGGCGTGTCTCACTGCCCTCTCACTCACCTGTCTGTCTCTCGCTGTGAATGCACGCGCCCTATAGCGGAACTAAGAAAAAAGGGTTCATCTTCAAGGAGTGCGTGCAAGAGTCGAGACCCCTTTAGGGTAATGACTGCGAGGTTTTGTAACCATTTCCGTGACACAGAACCCCTGTGGCTCCCCCATGAGGGTAGGTGGGTTTTCCCAGAGGCTACAAGACGTGCAATGTCACAACAGCCCGGAGGGCCCAGCTGACCTCTCCCTTCCAGACATGAGAGCGATTTTAAAAACGATAAACAGGGTCGCGCTTCTCATTACTTTCTTGGTAAAACATAGTTATTTTTCATGAAGTTATGTTACTTATGTGAAAGAATAATAGGCTTACTATTTTAAAGTGAATTAATAAATATTTTTCACAAAAGCCAAGCAGCCTGGGCCAGCCTGTGGCTGGTGGTTAAGGTGACCAGACCATACAGGGCCAACTGTGTGGTTTGAGTCCTGGACCTGGTGGCTTGAAAAACATGCCGGGCGTGTCCGTGTGTGCATCCAAAATCCTCAAAGGAGGGAACGAAGGAGAAGGGGTGAGGTGTGACCACACTCCATGGGGTGCTTTCTCACCTTCCCCTTCTTTCTCTCTGCCAAATGAGGGAAACAAAACAAAAACCATGCACTTTGAGGTCCTGGATATATATATATATAAAAAAATGATTTCTTTCTTTCTTTTTTTTTGTTTTTTGGTCGTGGGGCATGTGTGCTTGTCAGAGACTGGGAGAGACAGTGAGAAGAAAGTGAGAAATCACCACACAGGAGAGATGGGCATCCCACAGTCTCTTCTCCCCCCGATTTTGGACCTGACTGGCATGATTTTCAAACCACTGGGTCTGGGACACGGACAGCAGTAAGTCATGTGGGAGTCCAGCACCTTAATGACTATGCTACCTGCTGGCTCCAGGTCCTGGACACTTTTTAAGAGGTAAGATGGGGCCGGCAGGTGGCATGGTGATTAAAAGTGCTGGATTCCTATACGGCTGACCATGGTTCGAGTTCCAGACCTGGTGGCTTGCTCTGCCTCTCTGATCAAGGTTGAAAAATAATGATAATAAATAAATAATTGTAAACTACAGGGTAAAATAGTTTCAAGGTCAAAAGGTTTGAGAACATTTGCTTTGGGTGTTAAAAAAACTTGCCATTTTATTCCTCAGTTAAGTACCTTTTTGGAAATTACTAATTATGCTCATTTTTCCACCTTTCAACTTAGAAATATAAAATTTTCATGCTCATGTAAAGGTTTTTGATAAAATGAAAATTACAGACACACAAAGAGCCAAGGCCCTGCGGGTGGCCAAGTGTATGGTTGTGGACGGGGAAGGCCGTGGAGACTCGCGACCC